GTTGCAGGTAGTAGCTAAGAGCTAAAGCCAGGTAGTGTTAAAATGGAAAATGGCCCCAGGCTCCTGAAACTGCTGATTACCCCCAACATGCCAAAGAAGAATGGATGCCATACTCTTCTTTTTGTTGGTGCTGAAGATACATTGAGCTTCAGGCCATTTCCACTGGATTACACTTTAAAGTATTTGCTATATACTTGGCTCAGAGTGATCAGCTGGCCCTTAGGACTGAAAGCAATGCAACCAAGCCAAAGGTGGGTGAGTTTTAATCTGTGGCCCTCAGGCCTTTCACTTTGTTCAGACATTCCTCTAGCCCTGGTGTGTCCACTTGCCTGTACTGTGGTAACTTGTGGTTGCTGTGAGGCTGAACACTGTGATGCTGGTATGTCAAATGCGTTAACGTTTGGTTACCCATGGTGGTGGACAGTGTTAGGTGAAACTCTCTGATTAAAACAAGTTTGGAAGCAGGAGCGGCATCCACTTCCATAATAGCTTGCCTCCGGAAACCCTATGAACCTGGAGATTGGATGAGAGACACACAAGTGTGGACTCTCCTTCACTGGGTCGCTATGCATCGCCTGCGACTCGATGGCACTTAACATATCCTTGGCTAGTGTTGCTTCTGAACTCTGTAGTGAGTTTGGACCTTTCATCATGTATTGAACCAGAACCGACCAACAGCAGGTTTTAAAAGGCAGAGAGTAAATCATACAGGAGAGTCTTCAACTCTCAGAGCAGCTAATGAATTTGAACCATGTGCCTTTGAAGTGGCAGTGCACTTCTGGTAGTGATCCCAATGTTACAATAGTCTATCTTGTTCATAGGCCAGAGAACTCTTAGGTGTGTATGGTAGCAGGGGCAAGGGGTTGGTGCTCTGGTCCAGAGCAAGTCTACCTGTCAGCTGGGTTCAGTGAGGTCACAGAGACCAGGAGGACTAAGGCCAGGCAGGTTGTAGCTGGCTTCTGGGCCAGGTGGAAAACCACTTCTACAGTTCTGAGGACAAACTTCTACAGAGCAGAAGGGTGGTGATAATTCTATTCTCCTTCAACCTTGGTGGGCAGCATCCTCAGTCCTGGGAGAGGAGAATGATTTGGGGTTAGTTGGCCAGCATTTTTTGCTGGGCTACATGCCACCAATTATTTTTCAATTCCTTCAGCTTAAGAAATGCTGAGCGAGTTCAGCCCTTTTGATTTTCTGATTCCAGCTCTTTGCACATTTCATTATAATATCTTGCTTTGTCATCCCAAGCTGCCATTTGAAATTTTCTGTTCAGCTCTTTAATTTCTTTTAGCTTTGGCTTCCCGGTGCTCGAATACAATATTCAGAGTCTCATCTGATATCCATCTTGGTCTTTTCTTCCTCTTCAGCCTTTGTAATAATTTTTTGCATTCTTCATGGATGATATTCTTGATACCCTCTCACAGCTCAATTGGTCTTCTTCATTGGTGTTCAAGGCCTCAAACCTGTTACTGGGATGGTTTGAAATTCGAGTGGAATAGACAGACCTAAGGTCAAATTTTGGTTCCTGTGGATTTGCTTTTCTTCAGCTTTAATCTGCATATGAGTAGTTGGTCTGTTTCACAATCAGCACCTGGCCTGGTTTTCACAACTGAGATTGAGCTTCTCCAGCGATTCTACAGATTTAATCGGTTTGATTCCTACACACGCCATCAGGTGAAATCCACGTGTATAGCCTGCATGTTTGTTATAAAAAGTATTTGCAATAAATCAATCATTGAATGTGCAGAACTCTATCATTCTATCTCCAGCCTCATTTGTTACCAAGTCCATGTTTGCCAGCTACTGATCCTTCCCTGTTCCCAACTTTTGCATTCTAATCACCCATTATCAATGCATCTTGATTGCATGTTTGATCGATTTCATACTGTAGAAGTTGGTAGAAATTGTTTCCTCCTCTTGCCTGCAGTTGTCGGTGCATATATTTGAATGACAGTGGTATTCACTTGACTATCCTGTCACTCACATGTCATGATGGATCTAGAAATGACTTTATTATTAAACTCCATTTTTTCTCACCTTTTCATCACCAGTATAGGTCATATGATCATCTGATTCAAAATGTCCCTTGCCAAGCCAGCTCACTTCACCAATACCTAGTATGTCAATATTTGTCTTCCATTTCTTTTTTAACGTCCAATTTTCCTGCATTCATGCTTCTCATATTCCAATCACTTGTGTCTGCTTCCTGCTGTTCCTCCTCCTTTGTGTTTCCATATCGGAGATCTCAGCCTCAATTGCCATGTCTGCTAGTCCAAGTATGCTCTACTGCACATAGGGTTTTCGAAGGCCTGTTATTTCGGAAGTGGTTGGCCAATCCTTCTTCCTGGTCTATGTAATAGCACCTGACAGACAAGCATTTTACAGAAAGGAGTAAAAGACATTTACTCAACTAGAGAAATGACCAATAGATTCAGTGTTGCTCCCCACCCTTGCCACATGTGTCTGGATCTATCCCTTTCTCTACTCCACCAGCATCCCTTTCTACTTCTGCCTACACCATTCAACACCTCACTCCCCTTAACCAGCCCTTGATATGATGGCTTAAGTCTCAAGCCACCGGGTTTCTGTGATTCCTAACACCTCATGCTGCTGCTAGTCTCTTATGATGTGGCTAGTTATCTCTCAAATTTAGAGTCTCTAAGTACAACTATCAGCTAAGAGTATCAGGAAGGCTTTCCATCTCAGACAGTTCTAAGAAAAAGTCTTTTGTCTTGAACTTCTCCAGGATTGACTTCTTGGGACCCTGGGCTGTTATGAGGAGGAATGTGGCATCAGGATTGGAGGAAGATTCATCAACAAACTGCATTATGCAGATGACACAACCCTGCTTCCTGAAACTGAGGAGGACCTGAAGCGCTTGCTGCAGAAGGTCAAGGACTGCAGCCTTCAATATGGATTGAAGTTCAACATCAAGAAAACAAAGATCCTCACCATGGGGCCAATTGGCAGCATCATTATGGATGGTGAAGAGATTGTTAACAACTTTAGTCTGCTTGGTTCCACAATCAACACTCTTGTTATCAGCAGCCAGGAAATCAAGAGGCATACTGAATTGTGAAAGTCAGCTGTCAGGGACCTCTCCAGAGTACTGAAGAGCAATGGTGTCAGGCTGGAGACTAAGGTGCGCCCAATTCAGGCCATAGTCTTTGCAACTGCTTGCTATGCATCAGAGAGCTGGAAAATGACTAGGGATATAGGAAAAGAATTGATGCCTCTGAGCTGGGGTGCTGGAGTGTTTACTATACCATGGACTCCTAGGAAAACAAACAAGTTTTTTCCTTGAGAGTGTGAAACCAGGCTGCTCCTTGGAGGCAAGGATTCTGAAGCTTCGTCTGACATACTTTAGGCATTTTGCAAGGAGAGACCAGTTCTTGTTTGGTAAGGTGGAGGGACAGTGGAAGAGAGGAAGTCCCTCGATGAGATGGATTGATTTAGTGATTGGGGTAATGGGAGTAGGTGTGTTGGAGACAGTGAGGTTTGCACAGGAGAGAGCAGGGTTTGTAATTTGTACATAGGGTCGCTATGAGTCGCAAGTGACTCGACGGCATGTAACAACATGCCACCAGCTCACTAGGGTCCACAGTAGCCTCAAGATGGAAGGGCTTATTCTGAGCAAGGGCATTCTGCTCAGTGGGCGCACGAGAGGTGCCTGCATAGGCATACCACCATTCTGAAAACCCTCAGCGCCTTCCAGAGGGCATGCAGGGGGAACAGAGCCTGTTAGCAAAGGACTGTTCATAGCCCTTGATGCAGCGGAAACCCACAACCCAAAGTCCTCCCACACCCAAACCCACACAGGTGCACCAAGGTTCAAAAAACAAACAAAATGCTTTAATGGCCTGCCCTCAGGGCCCACAGCCTTATACAAAACATTAACTAGGCCAAGGGCCCCAGCTTGCCAGCCTCTGGCTCAGCTCAGCAGACTGACTGGAGGAAGCCCACAGCAGGCCACAGTCTGGCATGGTGGGAGTCCCCAGCCCTTCTCTTCAGAGACCTCATTCAGCCTGTCTCCTCCAGTCCCTGAGTCCCAACAGCTGCTTGGCTTCCAGAAAACACACAACTCTGATGGGGTGATGCACAATGTGGGAGTGGAGGGAGTTGGGGAGCTCAGGGAAATCACTGTCCACAAGGTAGACCTGGGAGCATCAGGTCCCAGGAAGGACAACAGCCCCAGGCACCAGCAGTGGGGACAGGGTGGAGCAGGCTCCCTCAGGGAGCTCCCACTAGGGGTCAGGGCCTAAGGCAGGGGCTGTAAGTCCCAAGCCTTCCTCAGGGATGCCTCTAGAAGGGGTACGTGAGAACCACATACACTGTACCAACGTACTTCTAAACTATCACAGAACGAGTCCTAGACACACAGGCTTTCTTACTGGGAGGATCTGCTTCCCTCAGCCACCCCAGTCTGGTAGAGATAAAGCACTGCTCCAGGGAAGCAGGGAAAGCATGGGTGTGTGTCAGGCATCATCCTCACAACAACCCTGTGAGGTAGGTTGTGTTGTTTAATTTTATAAATGGGGAGTTTGAGAGGGGTAGCGACTCACCCAGATCAACGTTCAAATATTTGAACCCAAGTCTGTCAGTCCCCAAAGCCCATCCATACCTTTCTAATAAGCTGCTGTGTGCTGTTGAGTCATAAGCAACTCACAGGTGACCCTCTCCAAGGGGTTTTCAACTTTAAATCACTTGGGAGGAGACTACCCATCTTTCTCCTGTGGAGCTGCTGCTGGTGGACTGGAACTTCTAGCTTTAGAGGCAGCGGGTCAATATGCCACCAAGCCACCAGAGCTCTCAAGTAAGTATTTCTCTCTAAACAGGAACCTCAGGTTAAAAGTAAGGAGAGCTGGGGTGGGTTCTAGGGTGAGGGCTGAAGAAATCCCAAGAGTGGCCTTTCCTGTAACCTAGAGGGCTTGGCAGGCAGCAGGTGGGGTGCAGCTGGTGATCCCCCAGACAGTAAGGTGCCTGCACAGCACCACCAACCAATGCTACAGGTGGTGGCTCTGGCTCCCCAACAGCTGTGGGCGGGGTGAGGGCCGGTCAGGTCCCGAGACCTTGTGGCCCCATGTGGGTAGCGCCAGGCCATTGAGCCAGGCGGTCTCCAGCAGGCTGCGGAAGCGAGACCTCAGTGTGGGGCTGGGCGGGCCAGCGCTGGCAGCCGAGGAAGAGGAGGCTCCACAGGACCCTTCCCCAGAGGCTGCCTCTGCCTTCTCTGGTCCAGGAGTTGGTGGCTTTCTCCCCAGCTTCTTGGCTTTGGGGGCTGGTGACTTCTGGGCCAAGGTGGGGCTCTCTGGCTCGTCTCTGACCGTGGCGGGTTCGGAGGCTGGCAGAGCTCCAGCCTCAGGGTCAAAGTCACCTGGAAAATGAAGAGAGTCAGCTACAGACCCCACACCGCCTCAAGTCCCCCTCATGGCCTTCGAAGTCAACCAGACACCCATTCTGTCTTGTTCTAGGCTGGGATGGCACAGTGGAGTCCAAGTCACTATGACCCTTCCTTGCAAGTGCCCTCCAGGGAAACAAGGAGATGCCTCCCTGACACCAGACCTCTGTGACGAGGATAGGCTGGGAAGAAAGCACCGCTCAGGAGGGAGAGTCACCAAGATGACCCTGACCCATGGAGACCCCGTGTGAGTGAGGCTGACTTTTAAGAAGCAGATCTCCAGGCCATTCTTCTAAAGAGCCTCGGCGTGGACTTAAGCCTCCAACCTTCTGGTTAGCAGTCAAGTGTGTTAAACATCTCTACTACCCAAAGACACCCAGAAACTACTGGCTTGGCCCAGAGCCCCACGATAGCAGGGGTTTGGAGCTAGCAGGCCCTGCCACACGCGAGGCTGCCCTCCCCAGAGGTGGAAGAAGAGCTAGAGCCCAACAAGGTCCAGAGCGAGGACGGAGGAGGCAGATGAGGAGAGGGCAAAGAGGCCCCGTCCTACAGCACACCTACTTGGAAGGGAGGCTGCCAAGGGGAGCACAGGAACCTGTAAGAAACAAAGGTGGGAATAACTATGGGGGTATCCACATTCAGAGCAGCAGTGGGGACATGGTGCCTAAGTCCAGCCAGTGCCAGGCAGCCTGGTACCGGTCCCTTCTTCATCAGGCCCCGAACTCATAACTCCAGTTAGAACAGGAGGAGCACCCTATGGAGGGCATGGGGCCCTACCAGGCAGCCGAGAAAAATGGTCCTTCCTCTAATCTGTGCAGATAAAGGACTAGGCTGGGAGCCTGAGCGATGCCTGGAAGCCACCCACACAACTCCCCACATAGTAACAGCACAGCAATATTGCAGTCTCTTCCTATCTCCTTAATTAAGGCACTTGCCCCAACCTCTCAGGTGGCCAGTGCTCAAGCACGCTGCACACCCACAGCCCAGCTCCACACTTCCATCTACTGTCTCAGGCTCCCTCTCCACTCCAACCTGGAGCCTTGAGCGGAGAGGAGCCTAGGTTGAGGCCACAGGATGGAAAAGCTGCTAGGGCCAATTTTGGCTGAGAAACAGCCTAGACATAGACAATAGCTTGGTTGTGAGACGGTAGGCAGCCCAGAGAGAAAGATGGCAGGGAGGCCATGAGCCTGAAATGGGAGAGACTGTGAAAGAGACCTGGCTCCTGTCGCCAAGTCCTGGCTAAGGAAGTGCATACCGCACACTACATGGCACTTCCCAAAAGCAAAGCCATGCTATTCAAACTGATGCCCATGGTTCTCTGAGACATTAAGGAAACAAAGAGCATGCCAGAGAACAATATGGACATCACGGCAGAGGTAAAAAAACTCTGGTTTTATGGGGTATCCTTCTGTTAGGGACTGCAAATGTACTTGAACCTTAAAACTCTCTTACCTATAATGCAATCCTGATTAGAAACAGGGTTTTCGTTGTTCTGATGGTGTTTCTATTATCAATGGAGGGTGTGTCCTCATACGAGGGAAGGCCATTGGCAGGTCCCAGAGCGACAGAGACAGTGTCTAATGTCAGCTCGCCTTTTCCTATCTATGGTTTATGAATTCAAACTTCCAGACTCCTTAACTTTGAGAAAACAAATTTCTGTTCTTTAAAGCCACCTCCGTGTGGTACTCGCTTCAGCAGCAATAACAATCTAGGACACCAGTGTATAGATACATGCTGGTTGTTATCAGAGCTGTGAGGTTGGGTGGTTCTAACTCAGTGATCCCATGTACAGAAGGAAACCCTGCCTGATCCTGCCCCATCCTCACAAATTCTGTTACGCTTAAGCCCACTGTTGTAGCCATGGTGTCAATCCACTTTGCTGAAGGGCTTCCTCCTTTTCTCTGACCCTCTGTTTTACTAGGGAGAATCTGCTGCTGAGGACCTCTTCAAAGGGTTGAAGAGCAAGGGTGCCCCGATGAGGAGTAAGGTGTGCCTGATCCAAGCCATAGTATGTGCAATTGCCATGTGTGCACGTGAAAGCTGGCCAATGACTAAAGACTGAAGAATGGATGCTTTTAAACTGTGTTGGTGGTGAAGAATTACAAAATATACCATGGACCACTCAAAGAATAAACAAATCTCTGTCAGCAGAAGTGCAGCCAGAATGTCCCTTACAAGTAAGCATGAACATGTTTATCAGGAAGGGCCAATCCCTAAAGAAAGTGAGAAAGACATCGTGCTGGGTAAAGTAGAAGGTAAATGTCCAGAAGAGCAGAAAAGCAGGAGCTTTTAGGATAGGAGGAACCTGACAGGCTCAGGATCGGGGTGAACAGTAGTGCAGTCACTGAGACGGCATAGATGAGGTTATGAAGATGATTATGGAAAGCTCAGAAGGGGCTCTGATAAGGGCCTGAGATGCACCAAAGCGAAGGTTTAGCATGTAGTTGGTTTTGGGGGCTAGAACTCAGAGGAGCAGTGGACACAGACAGGAAATAGGGCCTGACCAGAGCCCCGGCAAGTCCAAAGGAGAAGCCTGTGCCAAAAATGGGGAAGGTCTAAGCAGAGACGGAAATCCAAGGAAGGCCAGGCGTTTGCACTGCCAAGTATGCTCTTAAAAAAATAACAAACTACCAACCTTAACCAAAACAATAACAAAAAATGAAAGTCAAAAGTGAAATGAAAAAAAAAAAAAAAAGAGTCAAAAGTGATGCCTGGTTGACCATCATTTAAGTTTCTGAAGCTGTAAATAACACAGGAGATGCCCGTCTTCCTCCCTTGGAGCGGCTGGTGGATTCCAACTACTGGGAGGTGCAGCCTTTGGGTCAGCAGCCCAACTCTGTCCAGACCAGGCCACTAGAGGCCTATAAAGGAAGACTAGACCTAAAGCCCTGGAAACCACGCCTTCTGCCCTGCCAGGTGATCCAGGCCCAAGAGTCGACCTCTGAGACCCACTCACACACCCGTCACTTGCTCACACAGCTCTGGCGGCTACTGGGGCTGCCTCATGCTCACCCAGCTGGCGGTGCACGCAGTCCCGCCACTGCAGGTCCAGGAGGTCCGGGTAGATGTCAGGCAGCTGGCGCAGCGCCAGCAGTTTCAGCATCCGTGAGGTGCAGCTGTGCAGTGCATGCTCCCGCAGGGCGCGCTCCTCCGACAGCGTGGTGGGCCGCAGCTCCACCCGGTGCTCCTGCAGCACCTGGTCCACTAGCGCCGGGGGCAGCCTCGGGAAGAGTCGCTCCTTCACCAGGTGGATGGGCACAAAGATGGCGCCGGCTCGCACTACGTGGGGGAAGGGACACTGATGCGTGCACATGAAGCTCTGCAGCTGCGCCAGCAGTTTGTGCAGCAGCCCCTGCACATCTGGGCAGTCCTGCCATGCTCTTCGCCCCCAAGGCTTGGTCGTTGTGAGCCATTCCCGTAGCTTCTCGGGTGGGGACTGGGCCACTGAGTCCGAGATGGCTTCACACAGGGAGGCGTGCAGCCCCGTGAAGCGCTGCTCTGGGGAGACTGCCGAGGCTGGAGCTGGGGATGGGGCAAGTGTAGAGGCTGGAGCAGGGCCTGGGCCTGGGGCTGAAGCAGGTGATGGAGCTGGAGCCAGACTTGGAGCTGGAGCAGGCGAGGCCACAGCTAAGGCAGGAGGACTGGGCAGTGCCAAGTTGAAGCAGGCCATGGGCACGGGCTGGGGGAGAAGATTCAGTCCGATGGGCACAGATGTGGGGGTAAGGGCAGGGGGTGCTGGGGCAGGGGCCGAGGTGGGCACAGATGGGACCACAGCTGCAGGCAAGGGTGCTGGCCGGAGGATCTTGAACTTTCGGAACATGAAGGCCACAGAGCTTTGGAAGTTGGTCCTTGGTGTGGCTTCCGTGGTCACTGGTGTCCCAGGCAGTGCTGGGGATTCTGTGACGAGAGTTTTCAGGCCTGGAAGATTTGAGACTGTGTTGCCCATACCTGGGACATCTGAAATGGTATTCCCTGCACTTGGCAGAGCTGAGGCTGCATTCCCAACATCCAACACTTCTGTGGGCTTGGCATGTATTTCAGGACTGGAGACTTTGAGAGGGGACAACTCTGTCACAGGTTTCTTCACACTCAAGTCGAGTGCCACTTCCTCCCTAAGTGAGCAGGGTGTCCCCAAGGGGGTCTCCTGGGCAGGCAGGGTCCCCTTGCAGTCTTTGCCAGGGCTCCTGTTGATGGCTGGGTCTTGCTCAGGCTCAGATGTGACCTCAGGTGCCTGTACATCTAGGTAGTCACGGTAGGGGGCCAGGCTGAAAACGTTGTCGATAACAGGCATGGGAGGAGAGGTGGGCGGACTTGTGTTCTTGTTCTGCGGGAGGGACTGTCGCTCCTGGGCACACGGGGGCAGTGCTGGCGGTGTGTGGGGAACTGGACTGTCTCGGATGACGATGGGTGTGCCACGGTGTGTGTCGACCTGAGGCTGGAGCTGCTCTTTCTGACAGCTAGGCAGCCACGTGTTCTCCCCAGCTGTCTGCACTGGCTTCTCCGAAGGCTTTGTGGACTCTATCCGTGGCTGGCTGGCAGACACAGGCTGGCATGTCCTCTGGAAGATCCCTGGCTGTGGCACAGCCCGAACACTGTCCTGGGAAGGCGGTGTCCCACCAAGCCCTGGGGAGGCTCCATAGAGAGAAAGGTCATCCCGGGCATGAGGGAAGCCCAGCATTTGAGGTGGGAAGTCCAATGGGCACCGTGGAGCGAGAGGTGGTTCCAGCTTGAAGCCTGGTGAGGGTGCTGGGAGCGGGGCAGAAGGGTAGGAGTAAGTATCCAGCCCCACTGGGGGCACGTAGGGTGTCTGGGCTGCTTGCTGCCTAAGGTAGGGGCTGCCCAGCCCACTTGGTGGGTACCCTGTGCCCTTGTGGGCTCCCACAGCTTGCAGCGGGAGCACTGAGCCATAGCCACTCTGTTTCTCTGGGTGGCGGCAGGCAGGTGGGCATGGTAGGGCCTGTGGAGCATGGGGCAGCGGGTAGTGGGTGGCCAGTGCATCCTGACAGGCTGGTCCTAGAGGTTGAGCCAGCTGGGTCCAAGGACTGGGGGGACCTTCAGGCATTACTTGCTTGGGGTCTCCAGAGTAAGGACCTGTGTACTTGGAGGGCAGGAAGCCTGAACTGTGGATGGTCCGATATTTCTCTAGGAATGCCTGGCATGGAGAGAAACTCACAGAAGAGTCTTTGCCAGCTCCCCCAGGTGGCATCCCATGCAAGAAGGTAGGATCTAGAGGCTGGTTTTTGCCAGGAGCTGGGGCAAGAGAACAAGGTGGGTCAGCAGGGGGCAGTAGGGACCCAGGCATCAGTGTCCAGTCTACATCCAATGGCCTCTTGGCTGCCCCTTCCCCGAGGCATGTTGAGAGCCCGTAGCACAGAGGGTTGCGGTAGACAGGTTTTGGCGCTGCCAGCGGTGGGCCTGGGTAGGAGTGAGCCCGAGGACTGTAGGGCAGGAGTTCAACAGGGCTGGCATCCTGTCTCTTCTCAGAGGCCTCTGCTGCTGGGCGGTAGAGCAGGCAGTTGGACAACAGGCTGTCTGCTCGAAGCGGTGGACCTGCCATGCTGGTAGGGTACAAGGGTTGGTAGGGGGGCCAGGACGCCAGTCGCTCAGATCCCACCTTAGGAGCACCCCCCATAGGGCAAGAAAAGTAGGTGCCCTTATAGTTACAGGGGTCCTGGCTGCCAGCAGAAGGGGTGAGGCTGTGCCCAGGCCCAGAGTCGGCCTCCAGACGGGGCAGCTTGCCATACATCACAGGGCCCAGGGTCCCCAGGGGCCGCTTCTCTGCCATCCCTGTGAAGGCTGCCAGGCCTTCTGACCCCAGCTATTGCACCGCTGACCTGAAAGAGACAGAAAGACGTGAGTGCTTTCAGGAAAGTGCCACAGGCAAGCAACAGAGGCTGTCATTCGTGCTGGCCTTCTGCCACTCTCAAGAACCTGGCATTTGGCAAAGCTTCATTAAGACCATTTGAATGAACACACGCACGCAGGTCTGGATTGAGTAATGTGGAGGTTTCCAACAACTTTCTTTGTTAAGCTACAGAATCCTTTGTTTAATGACATCTTGTGTAGCAGCCCTAATGCATAGTCCCCACCCTCACTCTAGAAGCCCCTTAATGTTCAGTTTTCCTTCACAAAACCTGGAACATTTTCCAGATCACTGGTTACCAAACCCTCCTTTTTTTCACAGATAAGGAGAATGGCTTGAGAAAACAAAAGACAGGATGAGAAACAGGCTTTTGGCTTCCAATTCCAAGCTACCATGTGTGATTCCAAGGTGCCTGCTGTGGCCACACATATCTGTGTCACAGTGACCTGCTGGTCTGATAAAAAATAGCAGATCCAAGCCTCAAACACAGGTCTCTTGGCCCAGAGCCAATACTGAGGTATTGGACTAGGCTTTGGAGGGCCATGTCTGGGGGAGAGGAAGTTGTCTGTACATGCTCTGCCACTCCAGCTCCGCTTCCCAAGGCTTGGTGTTCAAGGCTGTCCAGCAGGTGGTGCTATAGCACCAGGGGTGCGGGGGTGGGGGGGAGGAAGAAATTTAGTTCCTAAAGAGATCCTTGACTACGCTCAGCCTACCAGCTACAGGTGGCTATTCCAGGGCACATGGGGGCAGCACTGTACTAAGAACAGGGAGAGGAGATGGCTGGTGATGTGAAATGCTGGGAGGGAGGCCCCAGGGGCCACAGTGTGCTAGTCAGCAACTACCCTTATTGGAAAAATTGAGGGCCAGAGAAGGACTAAGACTCCAAGGAAGGACTGGCTGGGACCCTGGCCCAGAGAGGTCAAGCGCAGCTATGCCTGATGCAGGAGCTATCAATGTGCCACAGCAGCTCCAAGTGAGGCCCGTCCCCTGGGGCCCTGTTGGCTCGCCTCCACCTCTTTCAGCACCCTGGCTCCTAAAACCCCAGGTGGCTTAGGAAAGATGAATCAGCTCAATCTTGCTGTGATTAGGCCATGGGCCAGATGTCACACAGGTTTTCTTCACCAACAAGCAAGGACCAGCAGCCCCATCTCTCGTCTTCTCCCTTCTGGCTGGTGGCCAATGACAGCCACTGGCTCAGACTTGGACCAGAACATTTTGGAGATGGGACAAGGCAAAAGTAGAACTGGGGGCAGTGTCAAAGCTTATCTCTCCCACACCCCAAAGCCCAACCAATCAAGGCAGAATTCTTAAAGCAGTTGCTCCCTGACAAAAAGCTTCCACCCAGCTCCACAGCAGCTTTGCAAGAAGGGGTTGTATGGTTTTGGGGGTAATGAGTTCCTCTGGTGATCTTAAAGAGGTGGAGTTAATAAAATACTGGCTCTAGTCTCACCTCCCTCCACAAACTCTCTGGGTAGGGAGAGCTCCATACTCACTCTTAGTCCCTTGTGTCCTTCCCCTCTGGGCTCCAATCTGATCATGCCCTTTGCCCTGGAGACTTCCTGAGACCCCACCAGGGACCCAACCAGTAATAGTGAGGTCACCCGAGACCCTCAGGAGTCTTTGTGGGAGGGATAATAGCTGGGGAGGGGGCAGCTCAAGATCATGAGGGGTACAGATGACTTTACGTCCTACCAGTAGGTGATGGGAAACCCAAGAAGCAAGCAAGCCTTTCCCCATTCAAGATAGAAACCAAAACATGCGTTTCTCCTTCATGAAACAAAACACGTGTAAACGTGTAAACGCCAGTGAGTGCTTGCAGCTGACTCTAGGAATAGGGTCACATCACCCTTTGAGTGGGCAATCAGCTCTGGAGGTCCTTCATGCCCAGCTCCAACTGCAGATGGGGCCCAGAAGAGTCTTTCATCAATGTCCCATGCCTGCCCTACTTAGAGGGGAAGCGGACAGCTCCATGGCTCAATTTCTGCTTCCACCTCCTGAAAACACTCCTAAAGAGGTTCGACATAAATGAGGAAAGAGCAGAAGACTTCCTCAGCTCAGGTCAGGAATGCCTGACCATATTGGACGGCTGCATGAAGTCCCCCTTTCCCTGCGTTGTCTCTCCTTCCCTGGCTGAGATTTCCAAAAGCTCCCCCCCAAGCTACAACTCAACCTCTGGCAGCTGTCTTAAGCAGGAGAGTGTGTATGTGTGTGTTATGTGTGTGAGGTTGGCCTTTCCCTCTCCCACCGGGGACAGCCTCTCTGGTTCTTGCTGGCCACAACTGACCTCGTTTTGGGACAGCCGCTGCCCTCGAGGGCTTCCGGTTGCCCCCACGCCCCGCCCGGCGGCGCTGGGGCGCACGTGCACCCCAGCAGGCTAACACACAGGCCACCGCCACGCATGCAAACTCGTGCCTGCACACGTACGTGCATGGCCCACATCTGCACACACGCCCCTCCAGAAATGCACTTTCTCCTCGTGCGGGTCTCCCCAACCCCCGACACAAGTGTGCACTTAAGCGGCCTCTCAGACCGAAAATGGGTGGGAGGTCGCAGACACAGGGCGGCCGGGCCTCAAGAGTCGAGGTTGCCACCGCCTCCGACGAACCCGCCAGCCTGGGCTGCGGCCAGAGGGTGAGTCAAGTGGTGGCGAGAAAACTGCAAGACCGTCCCGTCCCCGGCAGGGAGCGTCCAGGGCCCCGCGACGCCTCGGCTCCCGCTGCCCCCAGGCTCGGCCCCCCGCCGCCCCCTCATCCCCGCCCAGGCTGTCCACGTGAGCTGGGCCTCGCGGGAGGCCTGAGGGCTCGGCCTGAGCTCCCTCTCGACAGGCCCGCGCTGTCGCTGCTGGATCAAGGCGCTGGGCCCTGCCAGAACCCCGGTCAGGCTCCCAGAACCTGAAAGTCCTGGGAAGGTAGACGCAGCAGCCGCGCCAGGTAGTGGGGGCCGCGCACCACTTTGGCCCAGGCTCGGCGCGCTCCATCTCCAGGATGGCCAGCAGGGGCGCCCTGGGGCAGCGCCACCCGCCCCTTCCCCACGCGCCGCCCGCAAACTCGGCCCAAGTTTCCGTGCCCGCTCAGCGGGCGAGCTCCTACCTGCAAGGCGCCCGGCTTCCTGCTGCAGTTACCCAGGGCCGTGACCGCATCCTCCGGTGACACCGAGGCCGCGGGTCCTTGTCGGGCCGGGCCCTGCGCGGGAAGTCGCGGTGAGCACCAGGAACCGAGCTAACCCTGCCTGCAGCCGTTCGCGCCGCCGCCGGGCGCCGTCTGAGGTCCCGGGAGGGGCGGGCTGGGGGCGGAGCGGGGGCGGAGCGGGAGCGGGGTGGGGGCAAAGCCCGGCTGCGCCTCAGGGAGCCTGCGCTCCCCGGGGCCCTCGGGTGCTGTGGGCCTGTGTGCTGCCTGCCCTCGGGGACTAGGTGGCTGGTGCTGCGCGCAGTGTGTGCCAATCTTAAGCGGTGAAGCAGTGCCCGGCGGACCCGTCACATGCCCTCCGTTAGATCGCGGCTTCATTGCCACTTTCTAGCCATCTGACCTCATGCATGCCACTTGACCTCGCTGAGCTTCAGTTTCCTTCTTTGCAAAGTTGGAATTATATCTTATAAACAGCAATGTTGTTTTAAGGCTTAGAAGAGGTTGTATTAAATAGTAGTAGTAACCTTCTCTCCCCTGGCCTGAACTAATATTGTTGTTAGGTGAATTCCCAACTCATAGCACCGCCCTGCCTGGTTTGCGAAGCTGGACGCGTGACAGAAGCCTACCACCGGGTCTTTCTCCCAAGGAGACATTGGCTAGGCGCCAATCAACAACCTTTCCGTTACCAGCTAAGTAAGTGCTTAACTGTTGTGTAGGGCTCCTTGCTGGTTGCATAAGGGGCTGGGAGAAAGGCCAGTTTTGTCACCTCATTTAGCATAGCCAGTCAAGGCAGATCCCAGAGAAGTGTAACTCAAGCCCTCCTAGGGCCCAGAAGCTGTCTGAGGAAGGTCTGATCTTCCCATCCCTAGAGTGGGCCAGAAAGGAGGATACTGGGAGGTCTGCTAGGTGGCCTCTCAACCTTTTTGCCAAGTCTCTCAATAAGACAAGCCTGAGCATGTGCAGCCTCGGAGGCAGCTGGGAGTGGAGCATTCCCAGGCAGGAGTGGGTTTACTGCGAGGAAAGAGGGGTTGGAGAAGTGGAGGGGCTGCCTCCACTTGCCTTGACCCCTTGGACCATATGATTTTAGAGATCCTCCTCAAAGTTACTACTTTCTCTGAAGAAACTTAGTCCTTTATTGTCCCTAGACTGCCTGAGGCCTGGGAACCAATATGTGTAGTGAGAGTAAGGGACAGGTGGACGTGCCAAAGATCAGAGCAAGTTCATGGGGCAAAACTATTCAAGCCAGCTGGTGTATGCATCTCCCCAAATCCTCAAGGACAAGACTTCCTGAGTCAGAGAGCAGAACAGATCTGAGGCCACAAGTTCCAGGAGCAGAAAGCTGCTGAAGCAGCTCAAGCTGCTGGGGAGGGTTGGACAGCAGAGAGAGGACCCAGAGGCCAGACCAATTACCCTAGAGCTGATTTTCTTTCATGGGTTGTAGAGTAGAACTGTACTCCACAGGGTTTTCACAGCTGGGGCCTTTTAAAAAGAAATTACCAGACTTTTGTTCCAACGTGTCTCTGGGTGGCTTCAAACAGGCCACGTAGGGTCAGATGGGTTTACAGGGACTCTCCTTACTGCCACACTTTAGCATCAAGAAAGCGCATCCCAAGTTTAACAGGACAGCAAGTAATAAATGCTGGAGAGGATGTGGTAAGATAGGAACTCTTTACATTGTTTGTGGGATTGTACAATGGTACAAGAACTCTGGAAGGCAGTTTAGTGTTTCCTTAAAAAGCTGAACATAGAAATTCCATGTGACCCAGCTATTCCATTGCTTAGAATAAACCCCAAGAAAATGAGAACTGAGGCACAAATGGAGACTTGGACAGTGTTCATAGCAGCATTATTCACCATCTCAAGAAAATGGAAACAGCCCAGATGTCCAACCACAAACAAATGGATTGAGAAGTTGCGGTACATTCATACAATGGAATACTATACAGCACACAGGACTGGTCATTTTGTAAATTGTTGCCTAACTTGGGAGATACTGGAGAGCATTATGCTGAGTGAACTAACTCAGTCCCACTAGGACAGATACTGTACAAAATCATTATTGTAGAATGAGTATGAGGATCCAAGGTGGGGTGGGGAGAGGGTGGAAATAGAGGGGTGAAGTTGGGGGGTAGGGTGTTAATCATAGATTAGCACAATTTGATGGGTTAGTGGGGTGAAGGAAATGGGAAGGATCTTTTGTGAAAAACAATGTATTTAAACTTTGTAAATAAATCAGTTGTTCAGTGCTGTTGAGTTGTAGGCAACTCATAACAACCGTACGAATGAAAGACCTGAACACTTGTATGACTTTCATCCTTACTCCAGGTTCATAGGGTTTCTGGAGGTAAGCTATTTTGGAAGTGGATGCCACTCCTGCTTCCAAGCTTGTTTTAATCGGAGGCTCCCCCAAACACTGTCTACCATGGGTAACCATTATTGCTTTGACACATCACTGTCACAGTGTTCAGCTTTACAGCAACCATGAGTTATCGCTCTACAGCAAATGGATAGATCAGGGCTATACGACCTAGAAGAATGTTTGACCAATTAAAAACAGGCTTGAGGGCTGCAGATTAAAGTCACCCATCTCTGGCTTGGTAGCATCACTTTCTGTCCACTAGGCCAACTGATCTCTCTCTGTGCTGTTGTTAAGTGCCATCGAGTCATAGGTGACTCATAGCAACCCTATGAATGAAAGACCTGAACACTTGTATAACTTTCAACCTTTCTCCAGAGTAATATTAAAAAGAAAAAAATTTAAAATGAATGTGCATCTTAAAATGGATATAGAAGCCAAAGGTGTTCCATCAGCTACAGCTCACAGCCCAGCCTTATAACTGTGAACTCCAGCCTCACATCATGGGTAGCTGTCCTGTACTTTCTCCCATTTCTAACAATACCCTGCTCCCTCCTATGTAGTTACTTGTGCCCTCCCACATAGAGCACTCACTCCCCCTCCTCCACCTTATTACTGTGTGGGTGAGAGGAAGGCAATGTTCTCAGCTTTGGGATTTTAGGATTCTCAAGAGGTGTGCTCAGGTGGCCTAGTGACCCCTCTGATATCTCTGAGCCCAAGTTAGGTCTTCTCAGGCCCATACTGCCAAGATGCAATCCTAAGGGCAAGTTATACTCTTGCCTTAACTCGAAGACATCTCTTGATTGAAGGAACTAACTGTGCCAGCCGGATGTTCAGAATTAGACTGTAAACTAACATGAAATCCCTTAGAATTCCACTTTCTACTGTGATGACTGGGGGAGCACCTGTGTGGCTTAGTGGTAACGAGTTGCACTGCAACCCAGAGTCACATAGTTCGCGTCGACTGACTGCTCGGAGGGGGAAAGATGGACAGTCTCCAGTGTGATTTACTGCCTCCGAAAAGCTCCTGGAGGGTCAGCTTTGAGTCGGTTCTGACTCAACGGTACACAACAACAACCACAACAACTGTAACTGTTGTCAGGTGTCATTCAGTCTGCTACAACAGAACATAACTCTGCTCGATTCTCTGCCAGCCCACAATTTCTGTACTTAAACTCCCTGCTGGAGCTTGTTGAGGGCCTTCTTCTTTTTCTTGATCCTCTACTACCACAACTAGTTGGGTCCTATTCATTTTTTAAATACTTTTGAGTTGGATGTTTGTGGCACCAAATTTCCTTTACATTGACATTTAGCATGAGCCTTTTGATGGAAAGAAATGTATGTCATATTTTGAAAATCTCATCTATACCTGAGGGCCAATTCATGGAGAAAGGCAATATATTGACTAGTAAGTGGCTAAACGCCCTTATTCAGTAACATATCCATTCCTTTCTAACATCATTCAAGCCCTAGCACTACAAAAAGATAAAACAAAGACACAGGATAGAGGGCTTTAGGAACCATTCTATAACTTGCTGAGTCTCAAATTTCTTCATCTGCTAAATTGGAACTATAAAATGTGTTTTATGGTTTATAACTCATTGCTGTCGATTTGGAACTGACTCAGCTGACACTCCAGTGGGTTTCTGAGGCTATAAATCACACGGGAGAAGATTGCCTATCTTTCCCTCAAGGGGTGGATGGTAGATTCGAACCAACAGAGAGGAGTGGCCTCTGGGTTAGCACGGAAACTCTCTAGGGACTCAGCTCTCAGGGCTCCCTTTATAGACCGTGGTGTGAGACAAATGGCTGGTAAATTTTCAACATCTCTGCAGTGTCAGCCTTCTGTGAGGTCCTAAGAACCTGACCTTGCCCGTTGCCCTCTATCTGGAGAGGCTCAGAGCCCTTACAGGGAGGTAGCTATCAGAAAGGTGAAGAAAAGTACTTGGATCAAGATGTCGGCCTTGGGAGCCCCTCTGTTTTATCAGCACCTGTGTTCCTGGAGAGGAGACAGGGTATTGCATCAGGCAGAACACTGTGGACAAAAGCACAGAAGAGAGCATGTCTACCCATATGCAGGCTTCCTGGGTGGAGCTAACAAAGAAACACACTGGTAGAAAAGCCTACAAGGGAGATTTCCCTCTCAAACACACACCTCACAGCCACTCATCTCACCAGGTCCTCACAGGCTCCACGTGGGCACACAAACTCCTCATTCACCCCATCCCGGTCACGGGTTACCCCTCCTGACTCGCTGCCAAGGTGAGGTCAAAGGTCAGCTCCTGAACCTCCGCTCATTGCAGACATGGTTATTAATAACGATGTCGCTCCCTCTAATGAGGCCACACCTGCTATTTACACATCTCTTTTCTTCCTCAGAGGAGTCTCCTCTCACCCCAGAGGAGACGGTGGCACTGGCAGTTCCCCTCCAGGTGGAAGAACAGAGAAGTGCGGCACAGAGGAGGGCTCTCCTGGTCCTCTCAGATCCAGGATGTCAGGGATTGAATCCAATCTGTATCTCTGGTCTGTGTCCGTGTATGCAGTGATGTAATGTGAAAGTTATGTAATAATCCCCATGACTTGATAAACCAGTCAGCTGTAATAAGACTAGAGTTGGATGTAACACCATTTCATAGCAGCCCACTCCAATATAAGGGGAATTTATTTCTCTCAAGTGTGACCTGTAAAACCTTTTATTTATTTATTGGTGTGTTATGTATAGAGTTTAATTTTGTATAGTAAAAGTTAAGAAGACAATTTTTTTAACATTATTCTTTCTTTTATCTTGTTAGATTGTGAGTATAACTTTCCATAGCGGTAGCTGGACCCAACATGGTTTTTTGTTTGTTTGCTTTGTTTTTTAATTTTATTTTATTAATTTTAATGAGCATTTATAGAAATTTTGGATTTCCATTCATTCATTGTTGCATTTTTCTCCCTGCCCATCCCTCCCCCTCAG